TTTGAAGAGGATGAACCAGAAAGTAAGTAGAGTAGTACTTACCAGAATAGACATGATATGAAAGAGTAAAGATTTGAACTTTTTTTTTTGAGAGATGCAAATCATGTAATGGCTTCTCTCGCCTTAGGTGAGACGAGAGAGAGTGTCAGACTCTTACTGACTAAAAACCGTCCCGTTCCTTGTCCTGCACTTCGAGCCAGAGCTCAAAATTTGTTACAAGGTTTAACCAACAAAAATGGAGACCATTAGCTATAAATAACTCTTTTCGGTTAAGAATTAACCACTAAGTAATTCGTAGTGTAACAATCTAAAGCATAACATGTCTGAAATTTTTGTACAAAAATCTTGCGTTAAATCTAACACTGTCATCCCCTTAGATGAAATACCAGAGTAATAGGCATTATAGCAATTTCCTTTACTTTTCAGATGTAATTTGCAACAATCCATGGAGCCTAGCAGCAGAGGCGACTCGTTGGTCCTGTCGTAGCACTCGTAAGCGCGCCATTGCTACGGCGCTGGCGCACGGCTACGGCGTAGCAGCGCTCGCGCAGCACCTCGACCGCGCTGCTACGGCATTCGTAGCAGCCGCCCTACATGCTGGGACACTCAGGACTTTGAAGCCACATTATACTCTACGGTAAGACTTACAAAATTCAATAATCATGTAATTATGAGTATGTTTATAACCGGTGTCTCGAGGTTCAGAAGTAATATGTCAATGTGATGAAAAAATGTCTTTATGTTTTGGTAAAGTGAAACCAATTACTATTTCAAATCTAGCAGACAAGCCCGAATAGTCTCCAATATTTACTAGTGTTGCATGTTTCAAAAATTGGGAAATTTAACATCAATTAGGCGAAAATCGAATTTCTGGTTCTGTCTCGGCAGTGAGGCGATTAATTAATAAATCAAAATAATAATCTTATCTTCTAAAAATGTGCATTATAGCATAAACTTATTTGTTTCCAGCGACCACGACATCCGTATAGTCCGACCGTTTATCTACGTGCGCGGGCGCGCGCTGGCTGCGTTCTCTTGCGCGCGCGCACTGCCGGACTTCCGCCTCGCTCCCCACTCCCCCCACTCCCCCCACTCCCCGGACTCACCGCCCAACAGCCCCGCACATAGTGATGACAACGGGGATAATGGGTAAGCAGACACTATACTGATATTAATAAGTGTAATCTCTAACTGACTGTAGACTGCATGGTTGACGAGGTAGCTAGGTAACTGATTGCCGCGCAACGTGTCGCAGGTTCGATACCCGCACGGAACAAGTCTTTGTGTGTTCCACAGATTGTCGTTCCGGGTTTGTGAATGTTTGTGAAAGCACCCACGACACAGGAGAAAATCCTAGTGCGGGGCAACGTTTTTTTAATTTTCCATAAATATTATTTATACTGAGTTCAAAATGGGAAGTGCTTCTCAATTCTCAATCTCGTGGTAAATCTAATCCAAGATCCAAGTTATCCGACACAATATAGTATTTCGCAGGTGTAACGAATGGAGGGATCTTGAAGTAGGCAGTAAAAGCAGTCTTGAATTATTAGATTGTCATTTATTTAACAGTCATTTGGCATAATAAAGCTAGATGTGTCGTACAAATGTAACGATAAATCAGAACAAAAATATCTACAACTTCTCTTTCCTCCTTTCAGTAAAGACAACATCCTGGACGAAACGTTAACCGAAGCTTGCAGCTCATCAGCCAAGCAACTGACACAAGCATCAAGTGAGGAGTTACAGAACAAGATCCTGGCAGCCTCCCTGGCAGAGCCTCTGGAGAGTGCTCGTGATCTCCTCGCCTCTCAGGAGAGGATGTACCCGTACCTCTTCACTAGCCTCAAGAGTGCGTTACGTCCTCTTTTTAATGGCAGGTTAGTTTTATTATTAAAGCTTTGATATGAAAAGCCTGGGTTTTAGGACTTTTAGGAGAGATGTTCTAAAATATGTTTTTGTAAGCAATTTTAATATAAACGAAACATTTGAATTGAAGCCGCCTACTAAATGATATAGATTTTAAAACTGGACCACTATTCACAAATGAACTTAATTTTAAAGATCATATTATTATGTTACTAAACCAAAATTTCTTTACAGAGACCTGAACAAAGACCAGAAGGAGCAGCGTCACAGAAAGAAGTCAGTCATACAAATGAGGAATGGAGCACCTGTCTATGACTCAGATGAAGACAGTGAGGAAGAACTACTTCCGTAAGCGACTGCCACCTGCCACAGCTGTCTGCCACCCGTGCCAGGGTGCCAACTACTCTAGAGCGCCAGATGCCAAACATGCCAACTATTACTTACAACTATATATTGGTTCAGCTACACGATGTAATAAAAAAAATGTGTTATGCTCCTATTCAGAAATGATTGCAATTCAATCTACTTCAAACGGTCTTGAAGATTTTAAAGTCTACTATTTTGTAATTAAAGTCGAAAATCTAATGGCACATTTGAGTACTTTGATTTGCAATTATACTCCATTTTTATTACTCCGTGCTAAACATACAGCTGTGGACAGGATTTGGTCACTACATAGAGATTTCTAGCCTTTGCGGGCTGTCAAATTGAGCTGGTAAAATGTAACATGGCCTGTCAAAGGCAGCTGTCATGTCACTTTATGTGTTGCCAGTTGAAAAATATGTGTTCTGCGTATGTAAGGAAGCAAGGGTGGATGTAATCCACCTCGGGAGAATGTTATATATTATGCCATTTGGCAATTTTTTGGTAGTGTATGTTAGAAGTCGGCTCGTGATTTCTCAGTGATTGTTTTACTTGTGATCAACTATGTTATTGTATGCGGTAGAATGTTTGTGGCTCTATAAACGATGATTTTTTTTAATATTGATGTTGGGACATTTGGAAAATTTAATAGATGTTCGATTAGCATAGGCCTAAATATATGGCCTGTTAGTTATCGGAGACTTGTTGCAACAGAGTCACTGAGATTCCTCCGCAAAATATTCTAGTTTGTAACTTAGTGAGTGTAATTTTTGATTTGACGTTAGTAGATTCAGGGTTGCCATGTTGATAATATTTTGTTACTAATAAAATGGTACGTTTTTTTATTGTAATGTATAACTGTGGAATTGAAAACAAAGTGCATTTGTTACAGTCTGTTATTGTAATTAAGAAATATATTTTTCAATGTTGTTGAATGAATCGAGATTGTATGAAGATGAAATATAAATGTATAACGTGGTCTATTTATTCGGTTGATGAGAGTTCAAGAAATATATCCAAGTGTTTATTATATACCGATTTTATTTTAGGTATATGTTGAGTACCTACGAAGGTACATATAACTATTTTGTGTAACGTAGTTATAAAGATATGATAGTAGATGTAAAAGATTTAATTATACAAGTTTACAAAGTAGCGAGTACGAAAGCTGTTATTTGTACAAACTTTGTAGTTATCGTTTATTACGCTTTTTATAAAGATATTAATTTGCTTACCGCAACAGTTTTGCCTGTATTATATTATAAACAAGTTTTTAACTACATTTTTCTACGAGTGTGAATGGTTATTTTGTAGTGACATCAACAATCACTTTCCGATGGCATTATCCTCCTTTTTGAAGTAGTTGGATAACGAGGAATTTGGCTGCTGATGTGAGACTGAATTTCGAATGTTGAGAACTCATTTTTTTAGGTTATTTTTTTCTTTAAGTTTATTTTTGTAATGATTATTTTTCTGCGTCATTATGTAACTACCTACTTATTATGTCTACGTTTTATATTGCTCGTGTATGCAATTTTAGATTTTAAGTGAAATTCCTAAGATTGGGATGAAACTAGAAGTAAGTGTGAATTATAATACTCTTGAAACAACAAGTCCCATTAATTGCTTCCATGATATAATTATTGTATTCATATACATATTGTCGTATGAAATAAAAATATGTTTTAATGATTTCTGTGTTTTATTTTGATATTCCTGTTGGTGGTTAACCGCTTAAATGCACAGATATAAGGCAATAGAAAATAGAAATAAGTACATTGCGTTTCACGTGGATCCACGCTTAGACACACGACGGGTTAAACCACTTGAAACTTATTGAACTACTAAAACTTAATTTTTATTAGGAAGAAAGAGTAAATCAATGGGGATAGTCATTTCCTCAGTTAACTCGTCGAGTACTGGTTTTGTAGACACAATTATAGAACAATAGGTTGCGGTCACCGGTGACCGCTTGGTGTTTGACAGTTTAAAGAAGATCATTTAACGGTTCTATTTAATTAAATATTCACATATTCGCCTTCAATAATTGAATAGACGATATACTTACTATTAATTTTTATACCCTTTTCAAGAAATAATATTATTATATAACCTTTATAAGAATAAAATACTTAAGTATTTGCCACATAAATGGTACCTATTTATTTTAACTATTCGTTGGAAACTACTCTATTCAGTAAAACGTACGAACATTTTTCTTAAAAGTAATTCTTTAAGTTACGCTAATATTTAAATTTGCGTTTACGTGTCCAAGACATACTTTTATGAAGCCTCTCCAAATCTAAATGGTGGAGCAATCTGTACCTGAAGTAGGTTCTATTATTTTGTGTACAAAATAAAAGAGCCTATTGACTTATACCAGGCACTACCAGTAGTGAGTGAGGTTTTTTTTAAACCCAATAATATTTTGCTCGGCCTGGGAATAGAACCCGAGACCCCTTGACCAGCAGTCGCACTTGCGAGCACTCGGCCAACGAGGCACTCAGTAATATAGAGTATGTTGTGTTTGTTTTGTTCATAAAGACCTTTTAATCTCCGCAGTGGCTTGCCGAAGGTTCAGTAGACGAGACCCATATTCGGCAATCGGATTTAGGCCAACTCGACCAAAAAGGACAATTGGTTTTTAAGTCATATTTTAAATATATTAACTCGTCGAGTACCGGTTTTGTAGACACAATTATAGAACAATAGGTTGCGGTCACCGGTGACCGCTTGGTGTTTGACAGTTTAAGGTAAAATAAAACACACTATTTCCTTACTTATTACTATATTCACTACACATATTCAGACGTGTGTGTGCGTGCCCACTTGAACTAAACTAATGAGTATTACAAGTACTAAGGAACAATCCTTTATCAGAAGCTAAACACTGAATGTGACAATTATTATTAACTACACTTAGTTTTATATAAGCAGAGATAAATATAAACTATCCTAAATAAGCTAGAATATCATTGTAACGATTAATCTCTTATACTAATTTCATTTCATGACGACACAACATTACCTCGTTAAATTTTTAAATATTAAAGAAACTACATAATAATTTTTAATATGAGTTACACGGCTATTAGTCTACGATATAATAGAGATTATATAATTTTTAAAATAGAGCACATTTTGGAAATTGTAGTTTAGAATTTGAAGAGTTTTAATTACTTCTTGCCGCCTCCCTGACAGCATGGCTTGCCACCTGTGAAAAAACAGAACATGTTGAAACATCATCAAAAATCTAAAAACAATTCCTTATGTAAATATTTTTAAATAGAGTGGGAGTAAGTGTAGGAGAGCCATGCTTCGGCACGAATGGGTCGACTCGACCGGAGGGATACCACGGCCTCACAGAAAACCGACGTGAAACAACTATATGTTTCGTCGTGTGAGTGAGGTTATCGGAGGCCCAATTCCCCCCCTTCCAATGTCACCAATCCCCTAATCTACAATAATCCTCAAATTCCTAACCCCATTACGCCGGTAATGCACTTGTAACAGCTCTGTGTTTCAGGTGTCCATGTAATCCGTCCGCTCGTTTATCAACTTATTCCATAGAAAAAATGGATAAGCTTTAATTAAACAGTTTGTTGCAATAACATTTTAAAAGAAATATTAATAGCTTCTTATACAAAATCATTTTTGATTAAGATTTAGACCTTCATTAAAAAAGCAAGTACTTCAAATGAAAATATGAGTACATTTACAATTTAATAGAGGGTCAGTCAATTGCTCTAACGTCCATGATTGCTATGAGTCCTTGTGGGTGGAGAGTATCATTAGGATGTTATCAATAAACTGGAGACATCCAGAGTCATACACAATCCTGGAGATCTGACCTTGCTAGGCCCTGCGACTTAAAATATCACTAGGACAGACAAACTTTATTTGAGTTCTTGGCTCTCGCATCAAAGTCGAAATTTCGGCAACACAAAACCAGAATAAACATGATAAGTATCCATATTGTTTTATAAGTTTTAAGACTGCTACGGTTCTAAAATTCGTTTAAACACAATCACATATACTGTGTAATACTGACCGGAGGGCTTGCCATCGCCGCACGCGCAGTTGGGGCCGCAGGTGCAGTTGGCACCGCATGCGGCCGCCCCGCCACTGCACGTATCTGAAACATTATCATCATCACCATGAGCAATCACCATCAAGATCAACATCATCTATGGCAAGATAATTAATCATGTATACGAAAACTACACTCTTTTAGTGCGTTCAAAACCCAACTTAGCCAATATACCTACAGGGTGGAATTTTGGAATGCCATGCCACCTGAAGGGGAAGTACTCTTAATACTTTAGGTAGAAAATTTTACTCAAAGAAAACATTCCTTTATTTTTTGAAAAGAAAGAAAACTGCATTCAAACATTTAAAAAAAATCGCTGGCCACACACGGTAATCGGACCGACTAAAAGTAAACGTTGCACCCTGTACTATTATGCATCGATCATTAGGGTCAATAAGGGTGAAATCTCTCGAACAAATTTCATAATGAAATCTCAAATTAAAACTATGATTTACAAAAATGGTACCTAAACTAATAAATTGCTCGAAATGAGTTCTATTTTCTAGAATACCCGTGTGTTCGGTTTTCTTTTTTTTTCAAAAATAAAGGAATGTTTTCTTTGAGTAAAATTTTCTTTCATTTATACTGATGAATACAGAATTTGAACAAATCTCAAAGCTCTAAACTTAATAGATAGATACACATAGACCTACAGCTTATCTCTACAATAGGACACACGTATACATAGACTTTAGCTATAAACGGTCGGCTACTGCAAGACTATACTCGGTAGTCTATTTTGGTTAAATAACACAAATTTATTCTGATACAGAGATAGGCAGTTGGAACAAAGCAAGTCGGTGCCTATGTACGCCACTAAGCTCATTCAACTCTAGATAAATACCTCGACCGTGAGAATTGATATAATTTACTATTCAATTCATTATTGGACTGAGAACTGAGATAATCATTTAGCGGACACGATAGTGTGATTAGGAAAAGCATCGTAAGTTAAGTGTCGAGCTTTCAATTCCCAGTACGTGACATGTCATCTTTCGAAAATTCTTCGGTTGTTTCAGAAATACGTATGTAAAAAGAAAAGAGGAAACATTAACTAAAAATTGGGGGTTACTCACGGGAAAATACTGAGAAAAGCTCTACTAGTTACGAACCACAGAGGGGTTCTTCCTTCTTATAATTATAAAAACATTGAGAAAACATTGCCAATAATATGTCCCACTGTCAGTTCATTAGAAAAAGAGCTATGGAATGTTACATATTGTATAGTTCATTAAATTGCATTCAAAAGTACATTAAATAAAAAGTATAGTAAATTGTAACACTAATTAAAACTGTCAATGATACAAAGTCTTTAAATTCATACAATGTTCTTAAAGTTCCCTTTCTATTAATGATTACGTAAAAAGATTACTGATCGTCTATAAAGTCTAAGGTATTTACACTTAACATGCAACTGTAAGATTATTTTACGATATAGCATTCCTCAGTTAGTTAGGAAATGAAAATGAACTTACGTAGCTTTTTTTAACCGACTTCATTCAAAATAAATATTATATTGTATAATTTATTTTATCCATTTCATTATTCTGCATTTTTATCAAAAAATCATAGTACCTAGTGTTAATGTACCTATTAATTGTGTGCAAATACGAAAAAATGCACCTTCTGTCTACAATGTAAAAATTATCATCATTCTTTACGATCGGGCTTAGCAGGCACTTTACCCACCCTTTTAAAGGTATATACCACAAAAATCATAACAAAAAAAAATCGTAGACGTATAAAATATTGGTTTGTTTTAATTTACTGACAGTCAACAACAATAAATAAGTGTCTACATCATCTATCACCATGAAAAAATCAATTATGTAGAAATAACTCTATAAATTGATCGAAAAATCCTGCTAAACCCATTCCGAAGCCCTTACGACAAACAAAAACAAATCTACAAGCAACAAAACAACATTGAAACAATTGCGAAACCGCTAGAAAGGAACTACGTAATTGCAACTGCGTCATTTGATTGGCGAAACAAGACAATCCTAAATGAACAGCCGGCAAAACAAAAATACAAATGTCAAAAAGAACGAACACACGTGGTTTAAAAAAGAAATTTAAATTCAAATTTTGGAAAAAGGAATGTTAGTTGAAAATATTTTTTTTACTTACCTTTGCAAGAGTCGCACGGTGCTGGCATCGTGCTAGGCTAGGCTAGACTAAGCTAGCTGAGTCTGGGAGAGAGGTAGGGTGCGCGCGCAGCCAACGTCTAGAGTCGCCGAGCGCAGCGGGTCAATAACTGAGCGCCGAGGGGGGATCACAGCGCTCCTTACTCTTAGTCCAAGAGATAGCATGCTGGTTGATATTGTCATGTCTTTATTATTATGAAGTAGTAACGATCGAGTTGTGATTTATTGCTTTCTAGTCAATCAGTTGTTTGTTTTGCTTTAATGTAAGTAAGTAATTACCATTAAACCTTGATGAGGAATTTCTGTTTGGAATTAGTACAGAATTATTAATGAGGCTGATGAGTAAGTTCATAAGCTCTGTTAACATTGATTATTTAAGTTGCATATTACTTCAAAAACTTATACAAACTATATCAATAATATTACCGACATCATTTATACAAAAATAAGCATAACTTAACTTTTTACTCACTTGAAAATAAGTTTAACTCGTCGAGTACCGGTTTTGCAGACACAATTATAGAACAATAGGTTGCGGTCACCGGTGACCGCTTGGTATTTGACAGTTTAAGTAGGTAAATAATAAAAAATCTTTTACAACTATTACTGCTAAAGAAATACGACAATACGAAAACTTACACTGACTCCTGTACTAAAATAAGATAGTTATTTAAGTCGTACCGTGTTGTGTATAGGTACAATAAATGATTGGGCCGTAAACAAAAACAGGCCGGTATCGCGGCACGGAAAGGCGACCGGACCGGTTCGTTCTCCCGGCCCCGGCTGCCGATACGATTACATCTGTTTATGTATCACGCTTTCCTATAACAATTTTGTAAATATAATGGCGGATAATTCGCGAAATATATTGCTGTTATAATAACGATATTATAAACTAACTTCTGCCTGCGGTTTCGCCCGCGTTTCTGTGGGATAAAAAGTACCCTATGTGTTTTTTTTATTCTTTATTTATTTACAGGACTTTCATCTGAAGACATGTCAGTCTTATTGATGCAAATCACGAAACCCTTAAACTGTCAAACACCAAGCGGTCACCGGTGACCGCAACCTATTGTTCTATAATTGTGTCTATAATGACGAGTTAAACTAGTTGACTTGAAAATAATAATATAAGTAAAAGGCAAAAAAAAGATACATCTAACAATGAAATAAAAAGGCTCATTTCATACATAATAATGGAATTAAACTATACCATTAAAAGGAAAACGAACACAAAATAATTCAACAAAATATTAAGTTCTTAGGGAATTACTATAAATATTATACAGTTTTTTGCTGCTTCCGAGTGGGGATTGGACAATATACTATGAAAGATACCGACATCCAGCCTATTTATTTTTAAATACCATATGTTATTCCAGACCATAATCTATCCCTGTTCCAAATTTGAAATTTCATCCCGATATCTTCAGCCGTTTTGACGTGATTGAGAAACAAATATACATTATAACAAAATTAAATATATAATATTAATAAGATAAACATTTTAACTTTGACAGAGACCAGGCAGCAGTGCTCTCTGATAAACCTGAACCTTTCACACTGCGATCTCCAATCCAACCCGCCTGTTAAGTGTGCAAATTGGGTACCTTCCTTAATCAAAAGTAAATTATTTCGACTATTCAACATTATAAAATATTAAAAAAATAATCTCACATTTATTAATTGATTTTATGACCAACTTAATTTTAGTATTTTTCCAGCAAATTTTTAAGAATGCTGTTTGACGCTAAAAACACGTGACGTCACAATACACAATGTCGTACAAAATTCATAAAAAATTGTCGTTTTGACAATTCGATAAAAAGTATCGAATTTGACTATTTGGCGAATACCCGTTTATGGCAAACCCTCTCATGTAAAGAAGACCCATACATCAAACCACCAAACTGTCAGGTGAGGACCCTTGACGATGGGACGTCTTTCAGTTGATGCTAATAACGTATAACTTTTACTCATAAAGTTAGAGAATTAGAGGACCTATCTGTAATGCATTAAAATTCATTTTCCCTATTCATGTTGTAAGAGCAAATAACTTGTTCATAGATAAGTTAAGTATATGCAATATGGAAAATTAGTTCTTAGTCGAATTTTATGACATTTTGCCGCAGTAAGAATAATTTGCCAAGAGCAGCAGACAGAAGTTGGCGCATAGTGAGATAGATATACATATAAAATATGTGATACAGCGCAATGTGTCTGGACTGCGCATTAATGAATTATGAACCCTATGTCATAGAATATTGGGTATGCCTATTTGTAATGTATTTTATGAGTATGACTCATGCAGGCTTACGTTACATTTTCGTCCAGCAATGTTAAAGATCATTTTTTAATTTGACGGAGCTGTTTTTTTGTATTTCTTGAGATAGGTACACGAGGCAAAAGTGGTCATGTATGCAATACTTTTTCTTCTCCAAAGATGGATTGTAGTATTTGTAGTATCAACAATTTTGCAAAAAATCTAAAACTCGGTTTTTTTATTCCAATTCAATATATCGCTATAACAAAAATCTTCAAAATTTGTCCAGCTTTTTAGGTAGAAAACTTTTATAATTTATTTATCCATTGATTATTTTTCTCAATAATATCGTGGTTACTATTAATAGCATGAATAAAACCTCATGTAATAAGCAAATACATACATCATTTTAAAAAATCCATTATGGCCAGTAGGCCTGGCCTCCCCATTAGTGTTGCAGGTCACTCTGACCCTCGAAATATAGCAAATGTTTTTAGGGAGCATTTCTTTGTTTGGTCGCCACTTGGTCCGTCAATGTCGATGCTCAGTACTGGGTCCCAAGGTGCAGAATCGAACCTTAAGATTTCGGCAAAAAGTGTGGCCATAGCTATTCGCCTATTGAGAAGAGGAAAATCTCCTGGCCATGATGGGCTTAGTATTGAGCATCTGCAATATGCGGGGCCTCACATTGCTCGTGTGCTAGCTATGTTTTACACGTTGTGCCTAAGCCACTCTCACCTGCCTGAACAGTTAATGAACACCATTGTGGTGCCCATAATCAAAAATAAAACTGGAGACAACGCTGACAAGAATAATTATAGGCCGATATCCTTGGCGACTGTGATGGCTAAGGTGCTTGACAGCGTGTTGGACGCGCAATTGGCCAAATCTATAGCACTCCACGATAATCAATTTGGTTTTAAACCAGAATTGTCGACGGAGAGCGCCATATTGTGCCTCAAACACGCTGTCAGGTACTATACACAAAGGGGTACACCAGTGTATGCCTGCTTCCTTGATTTAAGCAAAGCTTTTGATCTGGTCTCCTATGATATTCTGTGGAAAAAATTACAAGAAGTAGGTGTATCTTCTCAACTTGTAAACATTTTGAAGTATTGGTATAGTAATCAAACTAATAGTGTGAGGTGGGCAGGCACACTCTCAGATCCATATAAATTAGAATGTGGCGTGAGGCAGGGAGGTTTGACCTCGCCTCGGCTGTTTAATTTGTATATAAATGCCTTGATTCAGGAGCTCAGCAGCCAACGTGTCGGTTGTCACATAGATGGTATTTGTGTTAATAATTTTAGCTATGCAGATGATATGGTATTGCTGAGCGCTTCAGTTTGTGGCATTAGAAAACTTTTAAAAATATGTGAAAGTTATGCAATTGAGCACGGGTTAATTTATAACACTAAGAAAAGCGTGTATGTCGTTTTTAGGGCTGGTACTAGATGCCCTGATAGCGTACCCCCTATAAATTTGAATGGAGAAGAACTAACTAGAGTACCCTACTTCAAGTACCTAGGGCATGTAATCACCGAGGACCTTAGAGACGACATGGATATCGAGCGTGAACGTAGGGCGCTGTCCGTCAGAGCAAACATGATTGCTCGCAGGTTTGCGCGATGTACCAGGGATGTTAAAATCACACTATTTCGAGCCTATTGTACGTCTTTTTACACCTGCAGCCTATGGGCCGTCTATACTGCGGGGGCGTACAGTGCCCTACGGGTACAATATAATAATGCCCTTAGAGCGGTGTTGCGGCTGCCTCGCCACTGTAGTGCATCACGGATGTTTATGGAGACGCGCATCGATTGCTTCTACGCCACTATGCGTAAGCGTTGCGCGTCAATGCTAAGCAGAGTGCGTGGTAGTAGTAACACCGTTCTGAGGATGATAGCCAGTAGGCTAGACTGTCTGTACATGGGTCGATGTATCAGTACTCATATAGGTATTGATACCTCCAGTCATGGATCGGGCAGGGGTCGTATAGATTAAGTTATACTAACACTAGTCGTAAGTTTTGTAATACTAACCAATTGGATCATTGTTATCTGAATAAAAAGTTTTATTATTATATTATTATTATTATTATAATAATGCGTAAACAAAACATAATTAGCTAAAATTCGCACTAATAACAAAACCGGTTCAGTAATTTATGTTTAGAAGGATTCAAAACAGGATAAAAAGTTGCAAATGATGCTTAATGGGATATTTTGACCTTGGAAGCAGGTAATGAGGCAAAAACTGCAGCAGGCATCCTTCTAATGGCAGCCCCGGGTTTCTCACGGGAACTGTATTATGTACGCTTTATTTTATTTGCATGTGCATATACGGAAGATTGGGGAAAGAAAAAGAGGTCATCCAAGGAACAGGTGGATTGATGAAATAATTCAAGTAGAGGGAAAAAATTGGAGAATAAAAGCAAGAAATGGAAAATTGTGGAGCAAGCTAGAGGAGGCCTTTACCCAGCATGGTTCCAACGACATAATAGTTATTTATTTTATAAGAGAAAATGTTATTTGAGGTTGTTGGAATGGGAATATATAGGCTTTAATATTACTAATATACGGAAGATTTTTGGGAATTATTGAATAACGAATTAAAAGTTGAAATTGCATCTGCTTTGAAGACCTTTTATAGACATTCCCAATTTTTTTGAAACAAAATATGTTTACAATTTACGTCGTAGTGTACAATACAGCCATTCAGTAGCACAAAATGTTTGTTAAATCACTTAAAATAAGATTTTTCATATCTCATTATCTACTTGCTCCTTTAAGATGCGAGTGACGTTTATTGTATCCCAGAAGAGGTAGGCAGAGGTGGACA